AAAAAAAAAACAATAGAATCTTGAAATTTTGCAGGAACATGGATTTAACTCGAAGAAACCATTCTGAGAGAGGTAACTCAATCACAAAAGGACAAACATGATATGTACTCACTCATATGTGGATTTTAGACATAGAGTAATGGATTACCATCCTACAATCCACCTTGCCAGAGAAACTAGTAAACAAGGAAGACCCTAAAAGAGACAAACTTTATCCCCTGGAGAAGGGGAAAGGGTCACCATCCCTGAGCAAATTGAGAACATGGGAAGAGGGGGGAGGAAGCTACGAGAGTGAGAAGGGAAGAAAAGGAAGGATGCAGAGGTCGTGAGGAAGCAGAAATTTTGAGTCAGCTGTAGATTAGAAGAAAGGACATATGATAGGTAGGATTTTAGTTGGGGGGTGGTAGAGGAGGAAGGGAAGGAGAAGGGAACTGGGATTGTCATGTAAATCAATCTTGTTTGTAATTCAAATATATAAAAAATAAAAAAAAATGATTTCTTTATTATGATTCACTGCATGCTATAAAAAACAATATCCTACTGTCTTGCTTTTAGAAAATGCTTAGAAATAGTTATCTTTTTTAAAGTTACCACATATCATGATTATATTATGACTCAATGTTTGTGTAAATTGCTAAAGTTTTCTCATTAACAATGAACTTCAATGTGTAAAGTTTAGTTTATAAGCTATTTGAGATTAATTAGTGAGTACAACCCATTAACTGTAAAGGCAATCTTTTGACCAAGATACATAATTTTGTAGTAATCATCATAATTATTATTATACTTAATTTTTCTTCAAGAATTTTGTCAGATATTCACCATAGCAAATAAAACTTCTATTTTTCTACAGCTTATGGTTATTTGATAAACTGAATGCTATAATAGTAACAATATATGACTCCAGCTGAAATTTTATAAAGTAACTCCAAACAGCATTGCTTAATAGCTATAAATAATTATCATTCACAGAAGTACTGGTTGTTTTCTCTTTAATTTAAAAATATTTGTTCTTCCTATAATATAAGAATTTAAGGGAATTTTTTTAGACTAAATAACCCTTTATTTAGCATTCACCAACATTTGTTTACATGAAATTCAAGTTCCATGTGATACAGACTTTTTACACAGTAGTTTAAACAGACTTGGCATCTGAGAAACCCATTTGGGGCCAGTCCTTCTCCAGATACAGACTACAGGAATGCAGAGATCAGGTGCGGACAGGAGAGGACACAGGCAGCAGGAGCATGGTGGGAACATCCTGACATTAGGGAAGGCAGCTGTTCTCATCCTGGAGCTGTGGCCTAAGCCTCTGCTTGCTTCCATTACTAACAAATGAGGAAAAACGGGTAAGCAAGCAGGAGGGATTCTGTGACAGATGCAGTAGCCACAGGAGGCCATCTGCACACCCAGCAAAACCCAAAACACCTTAGAGATATGGTTCTTCACAGGTTGTTGACAGGTGAGGTCTCCCCCAGAAAAGGAGTAGCCTAGGAATAAGTGACACTTTGCAAAAAGGCCCTTTGGTCTGAGTCAAGTGTTAGGAAGATTGGCCCTCAGCACTTCCTGGCTCTGGGGAAAAACTTTCAACCTGACTTTACTTGGAAGGGGACAAGCTTGAATAGCCCAAAACAACTTCAGGTCAAACTATGTGATCAGGAGCAACTACTTGATAACAGAATGGAACTTGTGCTACAGATGAGTCTCAGAGACCCTTAAACCTGAGAAAGCCTTGCCCCACAAGCGGAGAGAGGCCTGGCCTGGGGATGCTAGGGCCACTTCCCTTGTTGCAAAGGACTAAAGGGCTTGCACTTCATGATCTGGGCCATTGCACCAGCTGTTAAGATGGCACAAGCAGGGAGCAGCCCTAACATTGGCCCAGTCACATTCAGTCAGCTCCCAAAGGGTATCAGACATGAAGAGTCAGTGGACCTTGCAAAAAAAGAGTAGGAAGACCGGGGAGTTGGTGGCACTTGCCTGTAACCCCAGCACTCAGGTGATAGAGACAGGCAGATCTCTATGAGTTCAAGGCCTGCCTGGTCTACAGAGTGAATTACAGAATTTCAGGTCAGGCTCCAAAACAATACAGAGAAACCCTGTCACAAGAAAAAAATGAGTAGAAGGACATAGGCTCATCCTCAGAGGGAAACAAAAACTTCACCCATATATGGTGAGATTAGGTACTCCTGCAGGGGCAGTGTGACTGGACAAGGGCTTTGGGAGTCAGAAGCCATGACATTGCTGGGGGCCAAAGTGCATTGGCAGGTTGTGTGCCAGGGCCACATACACATGGCCAAAGTCACAGTTCACAGGCAGGTTGGACAGAGGTGGTACATAGGGTGCTGGCACGGGACCTATGTTGATGGGGAAGTAGTTGAACCCACGCCACACAGGTGGCAGGAGGAAAGGTGGGTGCACAATGGCGATGGGTGGCATCTGTGGGTGCAGGTTCTGTGGAACAGGCCATGGCAGGCCTCCCACGTGCTGTTCTTTCTTGGCTGGCTTCTCCAGTGGGGGACCGATTCGTTTGAAGGTGTTTTCTCCATTCTTCCTTCTCTTCTCCTCTTCAGTCTTCTTTTGGATTTTTTCAATCAGCTTTTCATCATCATCAGTGGGGTCGCTCCAGAGGGAGGACCTGGAACATTCCTGGCAAGAGGCTCCTGGAAAGCGAGGATGCTGGCAGAAATGGTCATAGCCATTGATAGAAACTCGACAGACATAGCACATCTGAGCACCACAGCGGCAAGACATGCGGTTGCAGCCTTCGGGTTTGATGAGGCCAGTCCCACACTGCTGGCATTTTTTTTTTTTTTGGCTTTTCGAGACAGGGTTTATCTGTATAGCTTTAAAGCCTATACTGGCACTACCTCTGGAGACCAGGCTGGCCTCGAACTCACAGAGATCCACCTGCCTCTGCCTCCCGAGTGCTGAGATTAAAGGCGTGTGCCACCAAAGCCCGGCACTGGTGGCATTTTCTAATGCGAGCAGCAGTCATTTTTTCTTCAGTAAATGTCCGGTACTTGACGTCATCCTTTTTGGCCAGCTCTTCACAGGTGAGGCCGGTATGCTCTTTCCAGAGGACCTGACACTTCCTACAGGTCCCCTTCTGGCAGCAAGGATTAAGGCAGCTGAAACTCTTCACATCCCTGTCCAACAGAGCAGGGAAGCTACAGAAGGGGCACCAGATGAGCTCATCACCACAGGCTGCAGTGAACTCTTCAGCTTTCTGTTCATAGTATTTGCACAGAATGGTCTGGGGGAGCACCTTCCCCAGTTCACTAGTTGGGAAGGAACATGTGCAGCTGCCCTCCATGCAGCTGAGTTCTGACTTTCCTGACCCGAACACTGCCTCTTGGGCATATCTGATGAGACATTCTTTGAAGAACAAGTGAGCATCGGAACACTGTGTCAGCTCCTCAAATGCAAACTCCCCAAAGCAGCATCCACACTCGATCAGCTGTCCATCCTTTTGACACTCACTGTTCTGCATTCATCTGCATTGTTTCTTGTCCCCACCTGTTTTCCAATTTGGCTTCCTGAAATGCTGGCAGTCCAACACTAGAATTTCTAGGCCTTTCTTCTCCTAGTCTGTTCAGACCATGCCACTGGCCATCTGGTTTGGAATAGTGTGTCAAGATGTCTGAGGTTCATGTTTTTCTGTCAGTGTGACATCAACCAGGTTGTCATCTGCATGATGCTCAGTATCTGGGGCAAGCACCACTGGAATCCCTTCTTCATCACAGGAGTCAGATATGATAATAGGCATCCTTTCCTCTCCCTGGTGGCACTGAAAGTTGTTCAATTGAATGACCTCCTCTTCATTGTTCCCCTCTGCCATTTTCAAATTCCCTGGTGATCAGCGAGAACTCCAGTCTTCACCAGATCGCTGCTGCTGTATATCTACGGGATGTTTTTGAAGGACAAAATAAGGTAAATACTTACTCCTGCACACTTTATTCTCTGTGCTCAGCAAGGAGAGAAATCATTACTGACAGAAGAAATTCTCTTCTCCTGGGAATATCCTGATTCCAAATACCAATTATTAGTGTTATTAATTTTTGAGAAACAATTATGGAAAGATTATTTGAGGCTTATATGAAATAATGAATTCAAAAGTGTTCCAGGACTGGGTAATACAGAGTACATGCTAGAAGAATGTCCTCATTGGTAAAAACAATTTAGTTAGAGCCTTGCATGGCCTTGCATCTTAAGAAACTATAGCAAAGCTTCAATAGTGGAATATATGTGCAATAGTAATAGAATGGAATTTTAGGACTAAGTAATTAGGATTGAATTTTAATTTTCTATTTGTCAGAAAATTGTGCATATGTTAGGTGGGAAACAGTGCTACCATCTTCAAATGTCAGGAAAGAGTTAGTACGCCTAATGTAAAAAAAAATAATCCCTAATACATAACAAGCATTCAGTAATCACCTGGGGTTATTATTTGAAACTGTGAATTCCATTTGTAACTCAGCATTACCTCTTATTTTGTAAGTGCTATGTTTAAAGAAATCAAGGGTACAAAAGTTGATTAATTCTGTTAGTGAAAAAATCCATTAAATCAATTACCCATCTAATTGCCTGGATAGTAGCTTATCCTCAAAGAACAAAATGTGTAATGGTCAATGCACTTTATAAGTATCCAATAATATTAAAAGTATGAAGATAATTAGAGTCTAATTAAGAGTAGATTTAGTTTATAAGAACAATAAATAAAAGTTAAATGATAGATTGATCTAATTTTCTGATAAAATCATTTCATATATTAAAAATTTATATATGGGATTAAAAACTATGCAAAGGAATATTGAGATCATTCTGTCAAATTAAACATACATTTATTAGTAGATTCTCAACTTCTGATTACTAAAGAGACAAAAATATTTAAAAACTTTAATTTTATTGAAAAAAAATCCTGTATTGAAAAAATCAATACAGGAGAACTGTATTTACATCATTTCTACAACTCCCTAACTCTCAAATCATCCTTGGTTCCCTGACCCCCTCTCAATATTATTGAATATATTTAGTGTTGCTTGTATGTGTATGTGTTTAAGGACTACTTGAGACTGAATACAATATCACAGTGTTCATCCCTTGTTCAAGTTAAGGAACAAGCTTGTTTCACATGTAAGACCCTTCTCCCTCTCCCTTGAGAACTAGTTCTTTGGAGAAGAGGTGAATCTGGGTCACTTTAGTCTATATTCCTCTTCTACATGTAATGGTTTATTTCCATCTCTTTTAAATTTCATGTTTATACACACACACACACACACACACACACACACACACACACACACACACACACACATATATATATATATATATAGTTTGGGTTTCTATTTTGTTCCTTTCATCTACATGTCTGTTTTTATGTCAATAACTTGCTGCTGTTTTTATTAGTATGATTTTGTAATATAAATCGAAATCCTGCATAGTAATTATTCTAGCAATTTTTTTAACTCCTCAGGATTGCTATAAGTCTCTGGATCCTTTTGTGGTTCCATAAGGATTTTGGGATATTTTGTTTTCTAGTTCTATGAAGAACATCCTGGGGATTTTGATTGGAATTGTGCTGGACCTGTGAATTAATTTTGGTCGGATGGTCAAAGGACACATATCCTCCCTTATTTGTGGATCCTAGTTATGAATCATTATATTTGAATGTATAACTTGTAGTAACATAAAGGGATTATGTTGCCAAAAATAAACAAAATACAAACTGGAGAAAAGACAACATCTTCATCAAATTGTCCTGGAAAAACTGAGTGTCTATGTGTAGAAGAATGTAAGTAGACCCTTATCTATGACTTGGCATACAAAATAACTCCAAATAGTTCAAAGACCTCAATGTGAAACATTAGGTGCTGCCACTATTTAGGACCTGAAAGAAGTCCACATACCTTGGTCATTGAAACATCTCTTGATCACTGAACTTGTAGCAAGCACAAATTCTAATAGTGCAAATATCTATTAGTTATTTCCCAGAAGAAATGAGGAGTAGACTGAAGTCAAGTCAGTAACACTGCATGTCAAAGAGAAGGGAAATGAATAGTTTTCACAATATCTATCTTAACAGACCCACATATTATTAAACCATAGTCATCCAAAGCCAAGTTCTATCATTTTCATACTATTAGAAATTTTTATGTTTTTATTTTATTTTCTCTATCAGACTTAGGGATAAAATATCACTGAAATAATTGTTGAAAATGTTTAGTCTTAGGTGTTTCCCAAGATTTGAAAGTAGCAGTTTATTTTCATTGTTCTTGTTGAGAAGGATTTGGAGTGAACATACTGTACAGATGGATGGGGGGATTACACAGATTGTTATTTATACAGAAAAAGATTAAATTGTCAAAAGGTGGTATTAATCCCCAAAGTACATTTTCTGCACCAGTAAATTCAATTACAACATTGTTCTGGGTCACAGGGTATGATTTTATTTTTATTCTTACTGTTTTAAATGATATTCTAATAGGCATTTTAACTCAAGTGGTTTGTTTGTCCTTTGTACTCTGACTACAGATTAAGGAGAATGTGGTGGGGAAGAAGCAGGTGTAAATTTTTCCAAAGACCTGACTATTGCTTTTCTTTATAAAGGAACATGTTTCCAACATACCTACAAAATGCTTCACTACTCTGACTTCTAGTTGCAATCCTTGTTGGGAGGTTCCTTGAGAAACCAAGCATGAAATAAATAAAAGTCAGCCTGTCTTTCTGACCTAGCATTGCACACTTTTACTTGATACATAGCATTCTAATTATGGATGTTTCAGACAATAGAACAGTCCACACCATGTCATTCATCAAATGGTTGTTGATTCCCTTCTCTGCTAACCTATCTTGGCTTTATGTGAAAACAAATATAAGCCCATTGAAAATGTGGCCTGCCCTACTTGATTAGCAGTTGTTTCTGTGATAGAAAAATATTGGTCAAATACTGACTTTTTTAAACCAACAATATTTGTCTGATTCAAACAAAGATTTTGATACTATGTACACATACACATGTGCACACATGACCTGGAATAAGCTATAGCTATTCAAATGGCTAAATATGCGACTGGACTTTTTTCCTTATTCTTCTCTCATGCAATGCATCCTGCATTATATTGTATTGACCACACCATCACTTTCCTCCAAACCTCTCCTCTCCCTCAGATCCACTTCTTCATTTTGCTTCAGAAAAAGCAGGTCTCCAAGTGATATCAACTGAACACCATAACAAGATGCATTAAGGCGATGCATAAACTCTCATTTTAAGGCTGGACAGGACAGCCTAGTAGGAAAAAAGGTCCCACAAGCAGCAGGAAGAGTCAGAGACACCCTCACTCCCACTGTTATGAGTATCACAAAAATGTCAAGCTAAATAACCACAGCATGTATGCAGATGGCCTAGCAAAGACCCACCCAGATTCCATGATTGCCACTTCATTCTTGTGGACCCCAATGAGCATTGCTTAGTTGATTCTGTGGACTGTGTTCTCCTGGTGTCCTGTACTAAGTTTCCTCATCACCTCCTCAACGCCCACCTATTTCAGTCACCTCTCCCCTTACTTTCTCTCTGGCCCTCTCTCACCCATCTGAACCCTTCTGCTCCTATTCCCAGATACCCCGAGTCTACCCACAAAATCTATTATATTTTCCCTTCCCAGGAGATCCATGTGTCCTCTCCAAACCCTTCCTTATTACTTAGCCTCTTTTTCTGAATTGTAGTGTGGTTATCTTTTACTTACTGCTAATATCCATTTATAAATTAGTACAATATGTTTGTCTTTCTGAATCTGGGTTCCCTCACTCAGGATGATTTTCTTCTAGTTCCATTCATTTACCTGCAAATTTCATGATGTTATTTTGTTCTAACAGCTGAGTAATACTCTTTTGTGTAAACATACCACATTCCCTTTTTCCATTCTTGAGTTGAGGGTATAGAAATTATGAGTAAAATTGCTATGAATATAGTTCAGCAAGTATCCTTGTCTTCTTTCATTATGCATATATTTTAGAGAAGCATTTAAAAACCTCCCATTGGTGGCAGTGAAAAAGTTTAATAACCTTTATTGTAAAGCTATTGCAGTGTGTTTATTTTTAAGATAATATTTTCCTACTTTAAGAAAGAAAGATCTCTTCTAGGAGGTTCAGTGTGGCTGAATTAATGTTGAGGTCTTTGACCCATTTGGACTTAAGTTTTGTGCATGGTGACAGATATGGATCTATCTGCAATCTTCTACATGTCCAAATCCAGTTATGCCAGTATCATTTTCTGAAGATGCTTTCTTTTTTTCCATTGTATAACTTGGGCTTCTTTGTCAAAAATCAGGTGTTTGTAGGTCTGTGGTTTAAATCAGGGTTTTCATTTCAATTCCATTGGTCTACCTGTCTATTTTTGTATCAGTACCAAGCTGTTTTCAGGACTATGGTTCTATACTAGAGTTTAAAATCAGGGATGGTGATGCCTCTAGAAGCACCCTTGTTGTACAGGGT